GAAGGTTGTTCCCAACTGGAAGAGTCAGTGATTCTGAACCATTCTGCCAAACACCCTTGCTATGAAGTACTTAAGATCCCACAGACAAAGCTGATGGCTCATGCCTATAATTCTAGCTACTCTGGAGGCTGAGATCTGAGGATCATGGTTCAAAGCCAGCTTGGGTATAAAAAGACTGTGAGACTCTTTAATGAACCACCTAAAATCTGGAAGTGGTGCTGTGGCTGAAAGTGGTAGAGCACTAGCCTTGAGCAAAAAGAACTCAGGGACAAAGCCTAGGTCCTGAGCTCAAGCCCCACAACAGAAAGAAAAAAAAATTCCACAGACAAGGAGCAGGTGGGCTGGGAAGGTGGCTTAGTGGTAGAACGCTTGCCTTGCATGCATGAAGCCCTGGGTTCGAGTCCTCAGTGCCACGTCAACAGAAAAAGCCAGAAGTGGGGCTGTGGTTCAAGGGGGCAGAGCACTAGCCTTGCACAAAAGAAGCTTAGAGGCAGTGCCCAGGCCCTGAGTTCAAGCCCCATGACTGGCCAAAAAAAAAAGGAACAGGATGAGGTTCTACAGGAAGATGGGGGAGAAGCCCTGAGCCCCAACTTACCTTTCTTGGCCCCAGCAGCCTTCTTGACCTTGGGAGTTGGTGACTCGGCCGTGACGGGAGTCAGGAGGTAGAAGAAGCAGAGGAGCAGATAGGCTCCCCAGAGCTCCATTCCGTGAAAAGCAGGGACTGTGGATTGCTCTGGAAAGCACTGGCAGCTGGGGCCCAGGCTGTATGTTTGAGAAGCAGCAGCCACCAGGACTCCTGTCCAGGGAAATCAAGGCTTAGCTGCAGGCTGAGTACAAAACCCTGTCCCACACCGAGAGGTGGAGCTCAGGGTCGTTCAGGGGCCTTGCTAGGCCTCTGCTTCCTGCCCAGGGCCCACACCCTTGGCACCTTCCTTCCCAGGGCACGGAGCCAGCCAGGCCAGACTTTTTTTGGCAGGCATGCCAAAAAGAAGGGGGGGGGGAGGAAAGTTTGGGAGCCACAGAGCAAGGAACACCCACCCTGCCTACTAAAGGGAATCAGATGGTCAGAAGTCTTGAGGATTCTGGGAAATTCCAAATAGTCTCAGCTCACAGCTCATGTCTGTCAGGCAGATGGATGCATCGGGAAGGCCTCAAACCACATGGGCTAAGAAGGAACATCTCCCATTTGAAGGAAACTGAGGCTCAAGGAGGTGAGAAGCCTTGCTCAAGCTACCCAGACATTAAAAGACAGAGTGCTGGCCAGGCGCTGGAGGCTCAAGCATGTCATCCTAGCTACCCAGGAGGCTGAGATCTGAGAATCGAGGTTCAAAGCCAACCCTGGGCAGGAAAGTTCGTGAGACTCTTATCTCCAATGAACCACCGGAAAACCAGAAGTGGCTCTGTGGCTCACGTGGTAGAGCACTCACCTTGAGCTGAAGAGCTCAGGGACAGCAGCCCAGACCCAGAGTTCAGGCCCCACAACTGGAAAATAAAAAAAAGAAGACAGAATGCTGGACGTCTCTCCCTGCCTGATCAGTTAGGCTACAAATGACTTGTTCATTACAAGAGAAGCCTCAGCTGGAATCTCAGGAGGCTGAGATCTGAGGATCATGGTTCGAAGCCAGCCTGGGCAGGAAAGTCCATGAGCTTCTTGTCTCCAAGGACTCACCAGAAAGCTGGAGATAGAGGAGGCTCAAGTGGTAGAGCACCACCAGCCTTGTTCAATAAAAGCTAAGGGTTCAGGCTCTGAGTTCGAACCCCAGGACTGGCACCAAAAAAAAAAAAAAAAAAAGGGTGGGGGAGAAAATACCGGACCATACCATGGTGTCAGCTTTCCCCTGCCTTCTCGAAATCTGCAAGCCTCTTTCTTCAGGCTCAGGGAGGGGCCTGTTGTGCAGCCCCAGGGGGAGGAGTCTGGCCTGGCTGGCTCCGTGCACTGGGAAGGAAGGTGCCAAGGGTGTGGGCCCTGGGCAGGAAGCAGAGGCCTAGCAAGGCCCCTGAACGACCCTGAACTCCACCTTCAGAGTGGGGGACAGCTTTGTGTTCACAGCTGGGTCTTCTGAGACAATGTGGGGCCTGACCATTACATAACCTAATGAAGAGTGCCTTCCTGGAACTCTGGGTGGGTAAGGCAGATGAAAAATGAATGTTCTTCTTGCTGGGTGTAGTTAGCACAGTAATCCCAGCTGTGTAGGAGGCAGAGTTTTTAGGAGGTTTGCGGTTGGAGGCCAGCCCACCCCTCCCTTCATTGCAAATGTTTGCAAGACCCCATCTCAAGAAGCCAGGTAGAGTGTTCCACATCTGTAACCTAAGCCACAGATAGGAGGATCACATTCCAGGACCACCTGAACAAAAACAAGATTCCCCCTCCCCATCTGAAAAATAAACAGTAAGGACTGGAGTGTGGAGTGTGGTTCAAGTGGTAGGGAGCCTGCCTGGCAAGTGTGAGGCCTGTCGATCCCCAGTTTTCTCTGGCTGGTTGCATTCCAATATTGCAGTCAACTATAGTCAACTTCCACAGACCTGGTGACAAGCTGTGATGTCACTGTGTGTGTGTGTGTGTCTATCCTGGGGCTTGAACTCAGAACCTCGGTGCTGTCCCTGAACTTTTGTGCTTAAGGATGGTGCTCTACCACTTGAGCCACAGCTCCAATTCTGGAATCCTTTGAGGAAACACCACTAATTGCAGATAAGAGTCTCCCAGACTTCCCTACCCCAGCTGACTCCAAACTTGATCCTCCATTCTCAGCCTCCTGAGTAGGTAGGATTGTAGGTGTGAGCCACCAGTGTCCGTCCATCTTTCTGGTTCTAGATTTCCCACTGGCACTATCCTAGTGGCCTTGACCAGCCACAGCAGCTGGCAAGGGTAATTCTAGCCAGGAGAGTAGATTATTTCCAGGAAATGTCTGTAGCTAACATCTACCCACCAGGGTATCATTACAATTCCCTGGGCCCAAAGAATGATCCTAACAAAGCCTTTAGAGGCAGAACAATTAAAGGAAGAAGGCTCAAAAGACACAATGTAATTTCTAAGTAAGTGTGTGTGTGTGTGTGTGTGTGTACGTACATGTGCGTGCAAGTCAAAGAGCTCAAACTGAGGCCAGGTGCTGACCCTGTCCCTGAGCATTTTTGCTCAAGGCTGGCACTCTACCACTTTGAGCTACAGTACCACTCCTGGATTTGTGTGCGCATGCTCAATTGGAAATAAGTCTTTTGGACTTTCCTGCTCAGCTGGGCTTTGAATTACAATCCTTAGATCTCAGCCTCCTAAGTAGTTACAATCCCAGGCATGAGGCACCAGCACCTGTTGATGTTGCTTTCTTGAAATGTTTATATAAAGGACACAAAAGACAATGATGTTGAGCACTGGTAGCTAATGCCTATAATCCCAGCTACTCAGGAGGCTGAGATCTGAGGATTGTGGTTCAAAGCCAGCCCAGGCAGGTAAGTCCATGAGGCTCTTATCTCCAGTGAACCACCAGAAAACCAGAAGTGGAGCTGTAGGTCAAAGTGGTAGAGCATTAGCCTTGAGTAAAAAGCAGCTCAGGGACAGTGCTCAGGCCCTGAGTTCAAGCTCCAGGACCAGCATACATGCGTGCACGCGTGTGCAGATGCGCATGTGTGCGCGCGTGCACACACACACACACACACACACACAGAGCAAACAAGCAAGCAAAATACAGCTGAGCCATTTCACACATATCTCAAAATGACCACCCACTGAAATCAAGCCTTAAAAACGAAGGCTTGGGCTGGGAAGGTGGCTCAGTAGTCGAGTGCTTGCCTAGCATGCATGAAGCCCGGGGTTCGATTCTTTAGTACCACAGAAACAGAAAACCCAGAGGTGGCACTGTGGCTCAAGTGGTAGAGTGCTAGCCTTGAGCAAAAGCTCAGGGACAGTGCCCAGGCCTTGAGTTCAAGACCCAGGACTGGCAAAAATAAAACAAAAACCAAAGGCTTCTAAGTTTTATTCAATCTGGGCCTCCTCTTCAGAGACAGGACAGGCATGTCATGCTGGAGACCCTCACACCAGGCCCTGCAGATGTGGCCTGTGGAGTCTTCTGCTTACAGTGTGCTCTATTAGATGCTAAATTCCTGTTACGTCGCCTCATTTGTCTGAGTAACTGCAGCATGAAGATGCCCTGGCTGAAGCTCCATCATGAATCAGTTTCTTCCCCAGGGCCCTTGAAGTGTGAGGCCCTATCCATAAAGACTGAATTCTGCACAGTGAGCAGAGCAGCCGACCTCCTGTCCCAAGAGTATGAAAGCTGCGGACAATGGATGACGGCTCCTCTCAAGCAGCTAAAGCTAATCATGTTGATAGAACACACAGGCTTATGTAACGCCAGGGAGTGGTTGTAGCACACAAGCAATTTCACAAGAGTGATAAGAGAGGTTGGCGAAGGACCAACATGGCTGCAAGGGCCCTGACCCAGAAGAGCTCCATGTGGCTCTCTTCCACGCAGGATGGGGGAAGGCTGGCCAGCGAGGGAGAATACATAAGGTCCAATGAACAGTTCTAATTGTTTTTGGTTGCTGCTCCTGGGGCTTGAACTCAGAGCCTGGACTTTTGTGCTCAAGGCTAGCATTCTACTGCTTGAGCCACAGATCCATTTCCATTTCCTTTTTTTTTTTTTTTTTTGGTCAGTTGCAGGGCTTGAACTCAGGGCCTGGGCACTGTCCCTGTACTCTTATGCTCAAGGCTAGTGCTCTACCACTTTGAGCCACAGCACCACTTCCAGTTTTTAGTGATTAATGGGAGATAAGAGGCTCACAGACTTTCCTGACTGGGCTGCCTTCGAACCTTGGTCCTCAGATCTCAGCCTCTGGAGAAGCTGGGATCTCCTAATCATTAATGCAGTGCTTGCTTGCTGCAAGTGTTTTGGACTCTGGCCTGTGGAAGCCCATGGTCCCCTCTTCTCCCTTGCTGAGTCCCAAATCAAACAGCACCAGGACAGCTGAAGGACTCCAGTCAGACCAGACCAGACCAGACAATAAATTTAATTTTGCATGTATAAATGTTGTCTGCAGGTATAACAATGAAGAAAAAAACATATATACAAACTTCAGTTTCAGTAAGAGAGTAAACCATGAAGTCGAGGGTTGAAGGGGCGAGAGGCCAGTCACCCGAGGAACCCCACTTTTTGCCTCTTGGGTCCCAGACTTTCTTCCTTGTGTAGAATACTCTGCAGAGCTGCGTGCAGTACCTTGCCTACACGCTTGCCGGTCTGCGGCATGGGACGGGAGTGGAGAGAGGAAACGGCTGATTTAATCGTGAGGCGCGCGCACTCTGACAGGGCAAGCTCCCCTCCTGCCAGCCAGCCTGCCACTCCCAATACCAGATGCATCCCACCTTTCAAATGTTTTTGTTATTTTTTTAAAATTCCCCTCCCCTCCCTTCTTTGGTGGTGCTTATGCCGAGGTTTGAGTTCAGGGTCTGGGCACTGTTCCACTTGAGTCATAGCTCCATTTCTGACTTTTATTTTTTTTTTTGGAGCTAAGACTTTCCTGCCCAGGCTGGCTTTGAACCACAAACCTCAGATCTCAGCCTCCCGAGGATGACAGGCACGAGCTACTGAACCTGGCTCTTTTTTCTGGTTCTATTGGTGTGATACTGGAGCTTGAACTCAGGGCCCGAGTGGGGAACCCTAGCTTTTTCTCTCAAGGTTGGCACCCTACCACAAGAGCCATAGCTCCACTGCTGGTTTTCTGGTGGTTCATTGGAGAGAAGAGTCTCATGGACTTTCCTGCCCGGGCTGGCTTTGAACCGTGACCCTCAGGTCTCAGCCTCCAGAGTAGCTGGGATGACAGGCGCGAGCCGCCAGCGCCCGGCATAGCCAGTCCCCTGGACCTATCCGATGGCCCCAGAGCTACTCCACAATCCCTCTGGACATGGTGATACCGTGATGACCTGAGAAAAATGAACCAGATCCACCTGACTGCTCCAGGCAGTTCAGAGAGAAGGCTGAGGGGCATGTGTGGGATGAAGGCCTGGAAAAGCCCAAGGCCCTACAGGGGCTTCTAGCCCCAGGTACAAAAGTGAAGCAAACCTGCTCAAGTACTGGGGTGCTGCTGAGAGCTTGAGCCAGGGGATACGCCAACCACTTCATCTGACTCCTGAGATGCCCCCTCCCCACTACTCTGCCAACCTGGGACATGCTCCCCACCCCTCCACTCTCCCTGTAAGGGACAGGAAGCAGCCAACCAGGGGCTACCTCCAGTCCAGGCCCCACCCTCCTTTGGCCCCGCCTCCTGGGCTAGGTCAGCAGACATCCAGCCTATCAGCTCTTTCCTAAAGCCCCCTGCCCCGCCCCCCCCTTACCTCCATCATCTCAAAGATGCTCTCGGGGTCCAGACTGCCCTTCCCCACTTTCCTCATGCACGTCACCGCTCCCTTGCTGGTCACGGACAGCAGCAGGCTGGCCAGGGAGCAGGCTTCCTCCTGTAGGCTGGCATCCACCACGTGCCGGCAGCCGATCTGCAGGGTCAGGATGGCACACGACTCGTGGGGGTGGGTAAGGGGGGGAGGGAGGGAGGGAAATGCACACCCAGGTTCACCCCACTGAGGGTGCGGCAGGGAGATCCACACAGGTCAAGGTCTGGCACCCACTTTCTCCCTCAGATCTCCTAAGGGTGACTGCTCAGCCTATGAAGCAGTCCACACGGGCGGAGGCTGGAGGAGCCCCCATCTGAAGCGGAGGAGAAGCCCCCGAGGACAAGCCTGCACCTTGCACAGGGTGACGATGCAGGGGACGTTCTCCACGCCCAGTCGGATGCAGTCATAAGGGTCATCAGACAGTTCGATGTCCTTGGAACCCTCTTCATCCATCAAGACATGAACCCTTGGTATTCTGGAAGCAGAAACACAATGAAGAGCTCAATTACAGGGAAGAGGAACAGCTCGTTGGTCGTGGGGCTTGAACTCTGTCTGGGCCTGGGCGCTGTCCCTCAGCTCTTCAGCTCAAGGCTAAGCGCTCTACCACTTGAACTACAGTGCCACTTCCTATTTCGGGTGGCGCATTGGAGATCAGAGTCTCACAAGACTTTTCCTGCCCAGGCTGGCTTTGAACCTCAATCCTCAGAGCTCAGCCTCCCGAGTAGCTAGGATGACAGGCATGAGCCACCAGCGCTCAACAACTTAAAAAAAATTATCATCCTCTGGTAGAAACTGGCTCCCGGTGAACTCTGCTTTAGAGACCAGCACAGGTAGCTCATGCGTGTAATCCTAGCTATTCAGGAGGGTAAAGATTGTGGTTTGAAGGCAGCTTGGGCAGGTGAGACTCTGTATCTCCAACAAACCACCAAAAAGCAAGAAGTAGAACCATGGCTCAAGTAGTAGACTACTGGCCTTGAGCAAAAAAGCTTAGAAACAGCACTTAGGCCCTGAGTTCAAGCCCTAGGACCAACACATAACACCCACATGCCTGTGTCAGCCTCAGACTATGACTGTCCGATTTCCACCATTGCCTGGCTTCCTATTTTACAGCAATAGAAATGTCCTGTGTTCCACAGTCAGTTCTCTGTAGGGCCCTTGGGGCTGTGTCCAGGAAGATTTTACCTTGTGTTGAAGAGAGCAGCCTTCACAGCAATAGAAATGGCATCAAACAAGTTTCCTCCGCATTCTAGCAGCTAAGGGGGGAGAGAGGGGGAAGAAAAACCAAGGATCAATTTATTACTGTTAGGACGACCTCTCTACGACAGATTCCTAATTAATGCTGAGTACCTATAGAGAAAATAAATGTAAGGATCCAAGGCAGCTGGGCACCAGTGACTCTTGCCTGACAACCTAGCTATTCAGGAGGCTGACATCTGGGTAACACAGTTCAAAGCCAGCCTGGGCAGGAAAATCTGTGACTCTTTAGCTCTAATGAACCACCAAATAAGCCAGGAATATAGCTGTGGCTCAAACAGTAGAGCACCAGCCTTGAGAAAATAAAGATCAAGGACAGTGCCTAGGCCTTAAGTTCAAGTCCCAAAACTGGTACGCGTGCACATGTATGCATACACACTCAGACAAAACAGGAGACCATTTTTTCTCGGGTAAAACTCATGCTGGAGGTGCTAAGATCCATGGGAAGAGGGAAAAGCAGAGGGAAGAAAGCAGGCCAGGTGGACCCCAGCAAAGGTGCAGTGTGGCTGGTCTAATAGCAGGACACTTACCAGCACATCCACGTAAAGCACCCAGCAATGCTCCCGGGGGCTGATGCAGAGCGCCTTCAGGTCCACGCTGCTCTTATTGTTAAAGGTCCGGTAGAGAGTGTTGGCAATCTCCGTGCCAAGGTCGTCCCCACCTCGACCTTCAAATTCAGGGGTGGCGTTGGCTGAACTACACAGAACAGGAAATTGCAAAGCGACATGAGCTGAGTGCTCGCACCTATCATCCAAGATACGCAGGAGGCTGAGAACTGAGGATCGGAGTTCATTCGAAGTCAGCCTGGGCAGGAAGTCTGAGACTCTGATCTCTACTAAACTACTCAAAAAGCCGGAAGTGGACCCATAGCTCAAGTGATACAGCACCAGCCTTGAGTAAAAAAGCTATGGGCCAATGCTCAGGTCCTGAGTTCAAGTCTCAAGTACCAGCACACACAGCCCCACAACAAAAACATCTAACTGAAAGCTTTCCAGATGTAAACATCAGCATGGCCAGGCTTTATTCTGGTTTCCCTGAGGAATGTGGAAGAGTCTGGTGCTGTAAGGAAAGTCCCCGAGGGCTTGGGGGTAGCTCAGGGATAGAGTCTGGCCTCCCACAGCAGGAAGCATTGGGGTGAAGCATTTGGGATTAAGTCACTGGAAGGAGAAAAAGATGGTTATTTCCCATTGGTGAGCTTCTACACATACACAATATCCCAGCGCCGCGTTGGATCTGTGTGTGACTGGCAAGTGTTATCAGAAGCCATTTTTAGCCAAAAAAGAAACGAGACTGCTATGGGCACACATGCCTCAGCTGGTAATAATGAACTCTTACCTTCAGTATATAGACCCTCTTCTCCCAGAGGCTCAGAATCTGAAGTCTGGCTTACAGAGTTGTCATACTAAGCACAGGATACCTACTTTTATTTATTGTATGTGTGTGTGTGTGTGTGCATGTATGTGCACGCGCACTCGTGCTGATCCTAAGGCTTGAACTCAGGGCTGAGGCCCTGTCCCTAAGCTTTTTTTTTCCTTCCCCTCAAGGCTAGCACTTTACCACTTGAGCCACAGCTCCACTTCCAACTTTTTAGTGGCTTACTGAAGAAAAGAGTCTCATGGACTTTCCCACCCAGCTGGCTGTGAACTGCGATCCTCAGATCTCAGCCTCCTGAGTAGCTAGGAAGACCGGCATGAGCCACTAGCTCCCAGCTTCATGCCTAGGTTTTAATAGCAGAACCATGGTATATGAACTTTCCTGGGATGATTTACGTGACATGAAATCCAGAAGAGAGCCAGATGTCGGCCTCTGATTGATCCTGTTGGAAGTAAGGAAAACTGAGGCCGCAGATTATGTAACTGGTCCCAGGCCACTTGATCAGCGCATGGGGAGCTAAGTTGCTAGCCTGGAAGACTGTACTTTCCCTGCTAGGCTTCCCTGCACTGTCTCCTGAACCGGCGCTTCCATGTATCTGACTTGTCGTCTAACATCAGCCAGCTCAGCTTTTCCTTAGGCTTACCTCTGCCTCAAGTTAATGAATTCTCATAATGGACTTTTACCAGGCCACAAATGTAGTCAACAAAAACTGCCAAATGAGATAAAAAAGCTTGGTGCCTCATACCTGTAATCCTCTCTACTCAGGAGGCTGAGATGTGGGGATCATGGTTCAAAGCCAACCCAAGCAGCAAAGTCCAGGAGACTGCTATCTCCAATGAATCACCAAAAGCCAGTAGTGGAGCTGTGGCTCAAGTGGTAGAACACTAGCTAGCTTTGAACAAACAAGGAACAGGGCTCAGGTTCTGAGATCAAGTGTGTGTAATGGTGTATGTGTGGGAGAGAGAGGGAGAAAAGAAAGGAGAGAGAGAAAGAGGCTGGGCACTGGTAGCTCATGCCTGTCATCCTAGCTACTCAGGAGGCTGAGATCTGAGGATCCCGGTTCAAAGCCATCCTGGACAAGAAGTCTGTGAGACTCTTATCTCCAATGAACCACCAGAAAACCAGAAGTAGCACTGTGGCTCAAAGTGGTAAGAGTGCTAGCCTTGATTGAAAGAGCTCAGGGATAGTGTCCAGGCCCTGAGTTCAAGCTCTATAACAGACAAGAAAAAAAAAAAGAGAGGAGAAAGAGAAACAGACTAGTAATCCTGGCTCCCTACTCAGACCCTTTCAGGAGGGGTGTGGCTTTTTTGGGCATAAAAGCAAGTGCTTTCTGCACTTAATTATTACCAAAGCAATACTGAGCCTTAATTTTTTTAAAAAAAAACACCCAAAAAACATGACTCATCCAAAACTGTGTGAAAAACAGCTTGCTGGGTTGGATGAAGTCAGGACACTGTTCCTCCCGGTTCTCCAACCCTCCCCACCCTCCTGACTCATTTCTCCCCACCCCCACCCCCTACTTGGCACCAAGCTGGGTTAAGGTGGAGTAGGCGGAGATCAAGGCCATATCTCTGATCTACCTGGAATAAGACTAAATACTAGGCCCATTGTTGCTTTCTTGTAATCAATCCAGCCTGAAAAAAAATGGAGGCAGCCTCACAAACAGGCCAGGGTACAGCAGGAAGAGTGACTTAGCTAGCTCCCCAGACAGGGCTAACTTGGAGCCAGTTCATCCCTCCCCAAGTTAGAGTTACCTACCCAAGGTGGATTCATTCCTCTGTGCATAAGGAGATTCCTTATAAATGAATACAGGAACCGTAGTACATTCTGAACCTTTCACTCTCTTCTTCCAAGTTTCTGGAAGTTTAGCTGGCACTTCTAGAGGTTTCTGCAGACTGCCTCTCTACTTTGTCCCCACCCCAGCCCTTCAGGCTTGAATGGGGCCCCTTCCAGCAGCAGTAACTAGTGGCTCCATCCACCAACGTAAGTTTCAAAGACTGGTTCGACTGGGGACCAGTTGTTTGTGCCTGTAATCCCAGCCCCTGAGAAACTCTGAGACTGGCAGTTCAAAGCTAGTAGCATGGGCAGGAAAGTCTGTGAGACTCTTTACCGCCAGTAAACTCAGAAAAAGCCAGAAGTAGAACTATGGCACTTGCCGTGTGGAAAAGAAGCCCAGGGACAACACTCAGGCCTTCAGTTCAAGCCCCAGGACTGTCACTGAAAAAAAAAAAAAAAAAGGATTGTGATGCATGCTAGACCCTAAAACATCTATGAGTGAAACTAAGTTAAAAAGTCTCTGATGCACACATGTAATGCCAGCAGAAGTAAGAGATTGGAAAGTCTGAGACCAGCCTGGGCTGTACAGTAAATCTGACATCAACCTAGATTGTATTAGTAAGCCCTTGTCCAAAACAAGAAAACCCCAAAAAGCTGAAATAAAAGTAACAGTAAGCTGAGGCCGGTGGCTCACACCTGTCAGCTACTCAGGAGGCTGAGATCTGAGAATCGAGGTTCAAAGCCAGCCTGGGCAGAAGAAGAGTCCCCGTGAGACACTTCTCTCCAATGAACCACTCAAACACCAGAAGTGGCGCTGTGTGTCATGTGGTAGAGCATTAGCCTTGAGTACAAACAGGCTCAAGGACAATGCCCAGGCCCTGAGTTCAAGCCCTACAAGGAAAAAAGTAAAAGAAAAGAAAAATAACAATTAAAAAAAAGGCAAAAAAGCAGAAACAATCCAAAACAAGCCCAGGTGCTAGTGGCTCATGCCTGTAATCCAAGCTACTCAGGAGGCCAAGATAGACGATCACAGTTTGAAGCCAACCCAGACAGGAAAGTCTGTGACACTCTTAACTCCAGTGAACCACCTGAAAACCAGAAGTGGAGCTGTGGTTCAAAGTGGTAGAACAAGTCTTGGGTAAAAACTGCTCAGGGTCAGCACCCATGCTCTGAGTTCAAGGCCCACGACCACCACCACCACCAGCAGCCTCTGAGAGAGGTAAAACTAATCCTAAACAAAACGTCAGACTCCTGGCAGGCACTGGTAGCTCATACTGGTAGCTCATACCTGTAGTCCTAGCTACTCAGGAGGCTGAGATCAGAGGATTGTGGTTCAAAGCAAGCCGGTGTAGGGAAGTCTGTGAGACTCTTATCTCCAGTTAATCACAGAGAAAAGCTGAAAGTGGTGTGGTAGTTGGTCAAGTGGTAGAGCGCTAGCCTTGAGCAAAAGGAGCTCAGAGACAGGGCACAGGCCCAGGACTGGCCAAAAAGAAAATCAGGCTCCACCACACGCCACCTAGTGGTAGCCCAGGGCAGCACACAGCTCACTCCATCCCTATCTCCCTTTGGACTTTAGGTGGAAAACACCCTCCACCTATCTAGCAAACCACAGATACAGAGAGAGGTTATATTATCTGCATCCAGGTCCTGTTTAGTGAGAGTACTTCTCGGTATCTCAGGAGCAGGACTTAGGGTCAAATAGGCCAGCACCTTTTTCACAGGGCTTCGAGATATCAAGACAGTCCACATTCCTAAGAACAACATAAATGTAATCATTTCATGGAGACAAAAACAAAAAAACCCAAAGGGAAAAGAGTCAGCAAGAAAGCAATTAGCTGGTAGAGATTTCCCTAGTACTGGGAATTTGCATAATTAAGACCTGGAAGTTGCTGCTAAGGAATTAAATCAAACTAGGCCCAGAGGGACTGGACGGACCCCATTCTAACACCAATTACTTTGTCCCCTTGGGTAGCAGCTGTCTTCAAGCTATGGACCCTGTTGAGTGTCTCAAGCTCTCAGGCAGGAGGTCATGGTACTGCTGGGGGCCATAGCTGTTCCTCTAGAAGCCTTTCCTTTTTACTGGGCAACAACAGAAGAACCAGTCGGTTTGTACAATCAAGAGCTACACCTTTAAGACGTAGGTGACGCCAGGTGCTGTTGGCTTATGCCTGTGATCCTAGCATTTTGGGTGGCTGAGATCTGAGGATTTCGGTTCAAAGCCAGCACAGTAAAGTATGGGAGATTCTTATCTCCAGTGAACCACCAGAAAACTGGAAATAGAGCTGTGCCTGGAAGTGGTAGAGTGCTAGCCTTGAGCAGAAAAGCTCAGGGACAGTGCCCAGACCCTGAGTTCAAGCCCCAGGACCAACCACAAAAAAAAAAAGGTCTCAGGTAAAGTTCTGAGTGTTTGGCAGCCTGTTCTACTTCTGCAGGAAAAAGGGTTTGTGACTCTCTCCTGGAGAGTTTGCCTCCAAAACTGACACTAACCAAGCCACTTAAAAGATGTCGGGTGTGCATGGCTCACACCTGTAATCTTACACCACTTAGGAGGTTGAATTCTGAGGATCATAGTTTGAAGCCACCCCAGGCAGACAAACCTGAGACTCTTATCTCCAATGAACCACCAGAAAGTTGGAAGTAGAGCCGTGGATCAAGTGATACAGCATCAGCCTTGAGCAAAAAAAGCTAAGAGATAGCACCCAGGCCCCAAATTCAAGGTCTCAGTATCTCTGCATGTATGGGCATGCACCCACACGCACAAACACACAAAAGCCAACGTATGCAGCCTTGAGGATTGAGAACTCCCTAGACCTTGCTTGGTCCCTACAAAGGAAGGAAACAAGCAGCCTCTCAGGCCAGCTAGGAAAGCCACTTCTAGAAGCCAAATCTCGGGAAGAGATAGTCACCTGCTTTAATAGCTGGGATGAAGAAGGAAGGAAGAGCAACCAGCTAGCCCAGGGTCATGTTCAGACACAGAGCCAAAATAAAACACCTCCAGTACCACGCATTCAAGTGCAGCCTTTTCTTTAGTGTGTCTGAGCCGACTACCTTTGTTCTGCCCAGGGTGAATGAGGCAGAAGATAATGAAGGGGAAGCAGAGCAAAGCAAATTACAGTCCTTGGCACAGTGTGTCTGCACCCCAGGGGCTGTTCTTTGCACTGAAGTGGGCAGATCAAGGCCAGGAGAGGCATTCTGCTTCCTCCAGGAGCAAAGGATGGTGGTCTAAGTTGGGGACACAAACAAGGTCACTAGCTTCTACACTGACTCTCAAGGATGGGCCAGTCCCCCTGGACAACTCAGATGGTGAGAGCCTCTGAGCAGAAAGAGACTGTTTGCTGGAAAGATGAACTGGAATTGGTTTTGGACCTCCAAACCCAGTATCCTCTGACACATTGCAGGTTGCATGAAATAGAGTATATGCTGGGCACCGGTGGCTCACGCCTGTCATCCTAGCTACTAAGGAGGCTGAGATCTGAGGATAGAGGGCAGGAAAAGTCTGTGAGACTCTTTATTTCCAATAAGCCACCAGAAAACCAGAAGTGGCGTTTAGAGTGTTCGACTTGAACCGAAGAGTTGAGGGACAGCGCCCAGGCCCAGAGTTCAAGCCCCACGACAAAAGAAAGAAAAGAAGGAAGGAAGGAAGGAAAGACAGTATAAATTCAAAGTAAGACAGCCCTGAACTGACCTTCTGGGCTATGGAGAGCCTGAGAAAGTTGTCTCTCTTCTATGAATTCCAGTGTCATTTCTCCCACAGGAGTACTATAAAGATCAATTAGCTAGCCAGGTGCTGTGGCTCATGCCTGTAATCCTAACTACTCAAGAGCCTGAGATTTAGGGATCAAGGTTTGAAGCCAGCCTTAAAAGTCTGTGATATTCTAATCTCTAATCAGAAAAAGCTGGAAGTGAACCTGTGGCTCACCCTTGAGCAAAAAAGAACTAAGGGATCAGAACAAATAAACAAATCCAAATTAAGCTGGGCATTGGTGGTTCATGCCTGAAGTCCTAGCAACTCAGGAGGCGGAGATCTGAAGATCGACGTTCAAAGCCAGCTGGGGAAGGAAAATCTGTGAGACTCTTATCTCTAATTAAGCACCACAAAAGCCAGAAGTGGAGCTATGGCTCTAGTGGTAGAGTGCTAGCCTTGAGTAAAAAAGCTCAGGGACAGCAGCATCCAGGCTGAGATCAAGCCCTAGGACCAGCCCAAAAATAAATAAATAGAAGACTGGGCACTGGTGGCTCATGCCTGTAATCATAGCTACTTAGGAAGCTGAGATCTGAAGATCATGGTTTGAAGCCAGCCCAGGCAAGAAAGTCAATGAGACTCTTATCTTCAAGAACCTACTCAGAAAAAGCTAGAAGTGTCACTGTAGCTAAAGTGGTAGAGTGCTAGCCTTGAGCAAAAGAAGCTCAGGCACAGTACCCAGGCCCTAAAGCGAAGATGAACTTACTGTATGAAAATGGGTTTGCCTCTGTGGAGAAAAGGGCTGTCATAGAGACAGGAGCAGAGAGTTAATTGTGAGGTTGGCCCCAGCTAGCATCAGGGACCAATCTCTGAGTGCTCCATGGCCAAAGTAACTGACAGGAGTCTACTGGGCCCAGATTGTGTTTTATGTTTTTCATGGTTTAGTGTGGCAATTGTACGTGGCAAACAGAAAATGCCTATGGGACTTGTCGCCACTAAAATCTGAGGTGCTGAATCTCTAGTGGACTTTCCTGGGCAGAAAGGGCCCAGAGAAGCTGGTGTGTTCCCACTGCTATATTGTTTTGCAGCCACAAATACAGTGCCGTGTAATAAGTTTGGAGTTTCTCTGGCATATCTCTGAATGTGAAGGGAGGTCTCGGGAATAGCAGTGCTACATGCCAACACCTGATATGCGCCAACGGAGACCAGCTGTCAACACATATGTTCTAGACGTAGACACTGAGAGGAGCCAGAAACCAGTAAAAGCCCCAGTCCCTAGAAGGGGAGAGAGGTAACATTCCTCAAACCTTTCTTGGGAGATAGCTAATAGCCATCTGTTTGTCCACTCTGCCTCAACTTCCTCTGTTATTACCACAGTTATTATCTGCATTGTTAGGATAAAGACATTTAGGCACAGAGAGGCTGACTATACAGCCTGAGATCCAACAGCTAGCAAGAAAAGGAAATGACCTTGTAGTCCAGGGCTGGCTAGACTCTTGCCAACACCCTTGCTGCCCGCCTGGGAATCACCTCCTTGGAATGTCAGGCTGCTTGGCTGACCCTGAGCCTCATTTGGCAAGCAATACATAAGCAGTTTTCTGCAGAGTTTGAGCAGGAAAAGTAATGGGGCACTTATAACCCAATGAATCCTATGTATCCGTGTATGATACATTTTCAAAGCACCACAACCCCTATCTTGTCATGTGACCCTCATAACACTGTGCTACCTGGCTGTGGAATGTCTTCCTTAGACAGGGAAAGTAAGGCCTAGCAAGGCCAGATGTCCAAGACAATGGTAGGCAGTCCTAGTACCTGGCACAAAGGAGAAAAATGGGTAAACTAAATGAATTGGTTTTTTGTTTTGTTTTTCAATGGTGGAATTATCTCATGCTGTGGCTTGGCTTTGTCACTCAAGGCTGGTGCTCTACCTCTGAGCTATACCTCTACCTCCAGAGGAGTCTCACGGATTTCCCTGCCTAGGCTGGCTTTGAACTGTGATACTCAGATCTCAGCATCCTGAGTAGCTAGGATTACAGGGGGTAAGCCACCAGACCCCCGCTGATAACTGAATGATTAAATGCAAAATAGGAGTACTCTACAGGAAATCAGAAGTCCCTTTCTGAATCTTCCATCTTTTAAATCGTCTCTCTTTAAAACCATTTTCCCGGTACTGACCAGTCAACAAAGAACTCCAGGTAGCCTTCATCCGGTCTCTCCAGCTTCGGTGTCCCCATTTCTGCTTTCACTCCCACCAGGATGTCTGTGTGGCCCTGCAGACATATAGAAGAAAGGTCCTCACTCACTCAATCAGCGCTGGCAACCAGGAACCAGTGGCCCCTCCATTTCTCCACTGAAGGTCCCGGTGTCGGGACCTTAGAATGTGGTGTTTGGAGATGAGCAGCCCCCGAGTTCTGGCACAACACTGTGAATTTGGCTTGGATCATGGAACTCTCCAGGGGAAATTCATACAGGAGGGGGGGGGAGATCTCATAGAGGGTTCCCTAGGGCTGACCCAACCTCTCTCCTCCTGGACAGGAACGCCTCAGCACTTACCAGCTTGATCCTGGCAGACCCGCTGGTGTTGGACACCACATCCGTTTCCACCTCCACACAACGGTAGTCCTCACAGCCACGGCCGTCCACGCGGAGATCTTCCTAAGTCCAACCAACCATCACCTTTAGCTCTTTTATTTATTTATTTATTTTTGTCGGTCATGGGGCTTGAACTCTGGGCCTGGGCGCTGTCCCTCAGCTCTTCAGCTCAAGGCGAGCGCTCTACCACTTGAGCTACAGC